ACATCGGAATGGCTCTGGCAGACGCCTCCGTGTTTCCCGGGCTTCGTGTCCGGTGTGTGGATCCCGCGGATCAGACCCCTCGGGGTTCCTGTTGTTTCGTGGCCATTATCTCAATCTTTGCCCCAAATCCACGAGATTTCCCCCGGATTTATTGCCGGGGCTGGATAACTGGGCTCAGGCTTAGCCGAGCCAGGCTTAGCCGACCCAGGCTTACCGGCCCCTAAACCCCAGGAGAGCAGGAACAACACGTGGCCCCCCGGCTGCTCCGAGGGGACAATGCCACGGGCTCCCTGTCCCTATGCCAGCCCCAAGCCCGCGGGAGCTGCCCCGGGATCCGCCGGGAGCCTCCGGAGCCGCTCAGAAGGGCGAGCGGAGCACAGAGGGGCCGAGCCCCAGCCAGCTGTCAGTCCTGGTGCCAGGAATGCTGCTGCTTCCAGTAGGACTCCAAAAAAATTCCACTCACGGGAAGCTGTTTCCTATTGATTTTATCTTCCCCCCCCTCCCCTTTTTTTTCCTTTTTCCTCTTTTTTCCCCTTTTTTCCCGCTCTTTCCCCCCCTTTTTTGCCGTTTTTGCCCCCCTTTTTTTTCCAATATTTTTTCCCCCTTTCTCTTTTAAAGAACAGAATATTCCAAAGTTGTGGAAAAATAGGAAAACTCTGCACTGGCTCCTCTGCTGAGAACATGGGTGGGATATTTGGAATTCTGATTCCATTTGTAATTTCATTTTTAATAGGAAGCCCTTGGGAAGGTATCCACGGAGAGGGCAGGACATACAGAAATTGTATTTATAGATATAAATTATATTGATATAAAATGGTATTTGATATCTAGTTTATATTTCTCCAGCTATATTTCTCCATGGGTGAGGTGCTCACAGGTATTGGATAAATGGCCTAAAATTCCCACTTATTTCAAGGAGGTTTTCCTTGGGTAATTCCTAACTCCCTACAATTTTCAAGTTGATTTTTCTGCTGAAATGAGGCAGGGTTTTAATCTCTCAGGAAAACAAATTCCTATTTTTTTGATGGATAACCTGGCAGTGAGCGGAGCCCATCCCGGTGACAGGAAATCTGGGATGCGGAGATGTTCAGTCTGCATCTCCTGCAGCCCAGCTTCAGAAAATCTGGGATGCAAAGCCAGGGATTGAGGTAGAATTCAGCTGTTTGATGCTTCCCACAAATTCCCTGTGCTCCAGCCAGCAGCACCTGTGTGTCCATTCCTGGGGGTCTGGGGAGTTCATCCCGTTCTCCCTTTGCTCAGGAGCTCATCCCAAATATTTCCCAGCTCCGTGGTGCTTAATTCCTGGTCTGATTTTGGAATTCCTCTTTAATTTGGCATTAAATTTGTCTTTAATTTGTGTTTAATTTGCCGGTGAAGGGAATCGATAGGGCTCCGTTCCCGGTTGAGCTGTTGGAAATCGGAGGGAATGATCCTTAACTATCCAAAATGCTGAAAATCCAGGGATAAAATAACAAATACATTTAAGCAAAATCTATTTGGAGCCATTAAAATTCCAATGCCTGATAAAAGGCCTATTTTTGTTGTCCCCAGCCAGGTTTTCCTGCCTGACCAAGCCTCAAATCCCAAATTAAAATATTGCAGTGGAATTCTTCCCTTAAAAATTATTTTCAGTATGAAATCAAGGGAAATATTGAATTAAAATATTTGAGAGAATTAATTTCCCTTCCTTTTCTCTGCTTATGGAAGAGTTGCCTCGTCCCTCTCATCCTGCTTCCCAGAAAACAGCCAAGGTGCCTTTTCTCCAGGACAGGGATTGGGATGACTTGCATTTATCCTTTGGAAGTTGCTTCTATTTCCTCCTGGATTTAATCAGTTTTTCCAAGCCCACCGTGGTTCGAGTGGCTCTGTATGGATTTATGGAATGATTTGGACCGGGCTGCTTTTATAACAAAAACACACAACGAAAATTTCATGAGAAAGGGGTTCTGGGAAGAGAAGGCAGCTTTTTTCCCGGAGGTATTTAGGGAGCAGGGAGTTGCAATTCCGAGTGTGCCAGGCAAGCGGGAACTGCTCGGAGTTCTCCCTTTGTCTGTGCTGTGATTGGCATTGTGGCCATTCACTGAACATCCCGAGATTCCCCCCACGCTCCGGCGCTTCCCTGCCTTCCCCAAACCCACCCAAACTTCCTCCCCGTGCCGGCCAACTTCCAGGCAGAGCTTTGTTCCCCCAGCCCCAGATCCTCCGGAGCGCCGAGCCGGGAATTCTCAGCACGTTGGCACAGCTAAAAATCCACCCCGGCCCTTCTCCTCCTTCCACCCTGGCGATTTTCCCCCCATGGCGTGGGGTTTTTTTTCCCAAATCCGGCGAGTGGGGCTTTTTCTCTGGGAAAACGCGGCCGTGGCCGCTCAGCCAGGAAAAGTGGGAGCGCAGAATGCTCTGCTCCTGCCTCTTTTGAGGAGTTTTAGCCATGGGGCTTTGGCACTGCCACCCTTGTCTTTGTGCCAAAAAATATCCGCAGCGGCTGCCGCATTCTAGTACTGGAGGCTTGGCTCGAAAATTCCGCAGTGGATGCGGCGGGAAGCCACGGCGCTGAACGCTTTGCCTTCCCCCGAACCCTCCCGCAGCCGGCGGGGCACCTGCACCTTCCGCCTTCCCGACCCTCGGAAAATGCTGAATTCCCGGGAAACGGGGGCAAATTGAGGAGCGGCTTTTCTCGCCCGAGCTGTCATTGTTTAAAGAGCCGGGTGTTGTCACAGGGCTTTTGGGATGTGCCACGGGAGCGACGGGAGCGGAGGTAATTGGGAATGGATAATTTATAGGGAAGATGTTCCCCCTTGGCCCACCGGGAATGGTTTGATGGTTATGGGTGAGGGGAAAATCCTCAAACTCTCCACAAACTCTCCACACAATCTCCACACAGAATCCACACAAAATCTCCACAGAATCCCCACAGAATCCCCACAAAATCTCCACAGAATCCCCACAGAATCCCCACAGAATCCCCACAGAATCTGCAGCCAGGGCTTTTTAACAGTTCCCGGAGTTCTGCCTGGGTGTGGGGTGTGGAGGAGGTGGCTTTTGGGAAGCTCCCAGCGGCCGCCTCAAAACTCGCTCCGGAGCTCCGGAGCGCCGGGTTCGGTGGGAGAAGCGGCCGCTGGAGATGAAATCTTTCCCGAGGAGCACAAGCCTAAAAAAAAAAAGCCAAGTCAATCTCCCGCTGGCTGCGGAGCCGCTTTGGTACCTCGGAGCCTTCGACAGAGCCCTGGCCGGGTGCCCATTGATGTCATGGAAACACTCAAATTACCGGGAATGATTCACGTCTCCGGCGGTCCCTGTTCCTCCCCCACGCGGGCGCAGCGCGGCCGAGCCCTGACAACTTGTAATTTGCGGGGGGTTTATTTTGGTGCCGGGGTAAATATTTCTGCCCAAACTCAAATTAAGCCGCGGTTGAGACGATGGCAAAGGGGCTCCTCAGGTGCTCCCGCTCGCTCCCCTCAGCCCTTGGTTCCTTTCGGGAATTTTTTGCCCCCCCCAGTCCCTGCCACTCGTTGTTCCCAAAGACTTCCCGGCCCTCTCGGGGCGATGGGAAGCGGATGTGGATTGAACTGTCCCATCTCGGTGTTGAACTCGTGGATTCCCTGTTTGGATTTCATTGTGGTTTCAATCCTGACTTAGGTCCGGTATTCCCGAGTGGAGGGTTATCCATGATCTTTGAATACCCAGCTCTGAGTCCTTCCCAAAGTTAGGCCTAATCCCCCATCCATCACAGCAATACTTGGGAGATGCTCGGGTATTTTATATGGAAAACAACAAAACCAAGGAAGAAACAAAAGACTCCAGAGACTTAAATTGGGATGGGGAGAAGGAATTTTGATTCCAAGCCACTTGGAATAACCAAACTGTGTCCACAAAGGGCCCTCAGAGCCGGTGGATGGATACTAAAGGCTCCTGGAGTTGAGATGTGGCCACTGATTTCGGGAATGATTTCAGTGAGCCCCAGCAGCCTTTGTCTGACGGTCTGCCTCGCCTTGGCTTCTTTATGGAATGTGGCTGGGATTGGGAATACGGAGCCCGGCAGCAAACCCGGCTCCTGGGTACGGAGTGTCACCGGGAATCACAGGGAGCATCCGCTCCTTCGTGCCGGGTGCTGCACACGGGGCTTTGCTGCCCCAGCCTTGGAACACAGGGAATTTCGGGGGGGATTTTTCCTGCCTCCTGGATGTTTTGTCAGCGGTGCCTCCCCCCTTCCCCTGCCGGACTTCTCCTCTCCCGAAGGGTGCTCTTTCCCTGGCAATGTGTTTGGGATCAGCTCTCTTGCCTGCTCTTTGTTTGGGAGCACGTGGGGCGCTGCTGCTCAGCCACCACTTAGTGCTTGGCACAAACCTCCTCTTCTCTCCCTCCCTTCGCCCCTTCAATCCCAAAGAATCCCCCTTGCTGCCCTCTGGAAAAGCGTCACGGCCGAGGCTGCGAGTTGGGCTCTGAGATGGGAGCGTTCAAAGCTTCCTGGGAAAAAGGAGAGGGAAGAAAAAAGGGGCTTGGAGTGGGCACAGAGATCCCCACTCGGCTCCTGGCCCTTCTGGCAAATTCCCAATGCCCAATCCATGTCTCTTTCCCAGGTGGATCATGAGAGAATTTTCTCCTGGGAAAGAGCAGGGAAGCATATCCCCAGCAGCTCCTGGAAGCTGGGAGGGCCGGGAGGTGGGAATGTCTGCTGCCTGGGTGGGAGACTGGCTCCCACCTTCACCCAGCCCATCAAATCCCAGGTCCAGGAGCAGCACAGCCAGGATTAGGAAGCTTAATTCCCATCACCATCATCAGGAAGTTTAGTTCCCATCCCATCCATCCCAGCAGGAAAACTGTGAATCCCTTTCTGTGCATTCCAGTGGCAGCAGTGCCTGGTTTATCCATGGAATATATATAAATACACATGGAATCAGCATTGGGAAAATGGGATGAGCGTCACCTAAAGCACTTGGAGAAGCTTTGTGTGTGTTTCTGTGCTATCTGTGTATTTACCTGGATTTTCCCTCTCTTCCCAGGTAAAACAGAACGAGGTTCCTACTCATCATACGGACGAGATTCCAACTTACAGGGCTGCCACCAGGTAAGTGCGAATCTGCTCGGAAATTCCCACTGGAAAGCTCCTTCCTCAGCTTTTCCAGACAGGATATAGCTCCTGGAGGCTCAGCTTGGCTTGACCTCCTCCCACCCCAGTCAGGGCTGCTGGGAGGCATTCCTTGTGTCCAAAATCCCAGCCTTGGGAATGCCACCAGTGGGAAGAGCTGGTGTTGACTCGTGGCTGCTCCCCTAAATCCCGCTTTCCCTGGGATCTGGGGCAATGCCATGTGCACACGAGGTTGGAAATACGATTTGCTGTCCCTTTTTGTTTGGGAATTGCTTTTGACCGGGAGTCAAGGCCAGCAGGCGAATGGCAAAGCCGCCCCATGGGAGCTCGGGAAAAAGGGAGGAGTTCCAGGGAATGCTACAATTCCAGTGTAACACAAAGGTATGGCGTGTGTGCCTCTGCCTCCCTGCACTTGGAATTTGCATCTTTTCAAGTCTCCGGAGGAATTCCCGGCCTAAAAACACTCTCTGTGGCCAAATTCCCGGCTTTGTTCCCAGCCAGTCGGGTTTTTCTAAGGACACTTTCTCTCCTCATTCCAAGAACAGTGTTAATGGTGGGGTTTAATCCCTCTGCTCCTTCCTTTCCCTTTTCCAAAGGGTGGCAGCTTTAGAAAAGTATCCGAGGGATTTAATGGCTTCCTTAATATTCCAGGATTTACAGGCTTCAAATCCACCCGGGAGAACTCAGAGCAAGTGCCAAAATGGGGATATTTTAGGCTTGATCCCTGCTTTCCGTGTTCCTTGGGAATGTGGGGAAAGGGTCTATCCTTGTGTTTTCAGGATGAGGCAATTTGAGGAATTCCTCGGGAATTCCTGGGTGTGTCAGGCTGTTGTGTGACCATTCCCACCACATTCCTGAGTGCCAGGCTGGCACTGGGAGAGTTGGAAGGGAAGGGAAGGTGTGGAAGGGGCTGCCCAGGGAATGGTGGAGTCCCCATCCCTGGGACTGTTCCCCAGATGGGTGGACATGGATCACAGGTGACCGTGGATGGTTGGACTTGATCTCAGAGGGGTTTTCCAAGCTAAGTAATTCCATGATTCCAATGGTGCTGGGCCTTGCTTAGGTGGGATCACACATCCTCAATTCCCTGGGGAAAAAGTTGGAATGACGTGGTTGGGGTTTGTTCTCTCCAATAACTCTCTTTCCTCGTGTTTTGATGGCAAAATTCCTGTCAGGATCATCCTTCTCCTTCATTTTCCCTTCTGAGGTAAAAACCAGCCCAAAGCTGCATGCAGGGATAAAATAATGGGATTTGGGGAGCCACAAAGGCTGTTCCAAGGGCAGGTTGGATGGGGCTTGGAGCAACCTGGGATAGTGGAAGGTGTCCCTGCCCAGTGGATCCTTAAAATCCCTTCCATTCCATGATTACTTTGTCCATACAGGAATTATGTGACGGCATTACTGTGACTGTGGGATGGGGCAGCCACAGCTTCTCTGGGAATTCCAGCCCAGCCCCTCGCCACTCTCCCAGCCAGGAATTCCTGCCCAACATCCCACCTAACCCAGTGGGAAGCCATTCCCTGTGGCCTGTCCCTCCATCCTTTGTCCCCAGTCCCTCTCCTGTTCTCCTGGAGCCCCTTTAGGCCCTGGAATTTGCTCCGAGGTCTCCCTGGATCATTCCCTTCTCCAGGAGAACACCCCCAGCTCTCCCAGCCTGGCTCCATGTCTGAGGGGCTCCAGCCCTCAGAGCATCTCCGTGCCCAGGTTGGATGGGGCTGGAAGCACCCACGGAAGGTGTCCCTGCCCACGGCACATGTGGCACTGGAGAAGCTTTCCGACCCCTCCCACCCCAAACCCCAAACCATTCCAGGATTCCATGACACTCACGGAGGGAGTGTCACACCCAGAGGTCCCCAGGATCCCCTTTGGAGCCTAGAATGTCCCAGGGAGGCCCCCAAACCCCCCCTCTGCTGTCCCCAGGCCCCTGTGGCTCCTTCCGGTGTCACTCTCACTTCCCCTTCCCTGCTTTATTTGGGCCCAGCGTTCCTGTTTTTTTGGGCTCAGGGTTCCTGTTTTTTTGGGTTGGTTGTTCCTCTCTCCGGGGGTTTTCCCTGTCGCCGTGGTGGGATCGAGAGGGGCTGGCAGGGGGTGTGGGATGTGGGATGTGGGTGGGATGTGGCCCCTCGGGCGCAGGAGCAGAGCCCAGGACTCCCACACAGGGATCTCAGGGACTCCCAGAAATGCAGAGCTTGGGTCCTTCCTGAAGTTCCTGACGGAATTTCACCCTCCATCTGTAGTTTCCCAGCCCTGCCTTGGTGGCTTGGAACTACTGGCTTCCTTGGAAAAATTATCCCTTATTTGTGATCCCTCTCAGGAAGGAATTCCTGGTTGTGAGAGTGGGGAGGGGCCAGGATGGAATTCCCAGAGAAACTGTGGCTGCCTCCGGGTCCCTAGGAACGTCCCAGGCCAGGTGGGATCACCTGGCAGGTGTTCCTGCCCTGCTCCCACGTTTCAAACCCTTGGGAAGCGCTGCTTTTCCCCGGCTCCTCCCCGTTCCCTTGTTAGTATGTATTCCCAGTTGGAATCAATCACTCCAGGGAGATGGTTCCGTGCTGACCAGTCTTGGACAAGCTTTGCAAAATGATTGATTCCCAGCCCAGCTTTGGAAAACTTGTGAGCAGCTCCATGTGGAGCCGGAGCCAGTCCCGCTCTGGCTCCTGGCAGCGCCGGGGGCTGCGGGAGCAGCCATTCCCTGCAGGCCCGGAGCTGGGAGGCACATATGGAAGTTTCTACTCCCTGTCACGTTTGCTGGGCATGTGGTACCTCCCTGCTATCCTAACGCCGGGACTGACGGGATGGAGCGCGTGCGGAGCGGCACGGATGGCTCTGGAATTACAAACAGCTTTGATCGTCCTTTTCCCGAGAAAAGGATGGTACTGGGAACCGAGGCCGTAGCTCTGCGTCATTCCCGTCTCTGCACCCTGGGAAGTCCATTGTGGATCATCGCGGAGATGATCCAGGAGCTGGAGCCACTGCCCTGTAGAGCCAGCCTGGGAGAGCTGGGAATGTTCACCTGAAGAAGGGGAGGATCCAGGGAGACCTCGGAGCAAATTCCAGGGCCTAAAGGGGCTCCAGGAGAGCTGGAGAGGGACTGGGGACAAGGGATGGAGGGACAGGCCACAGGGAATGGCTTCCCACTGGTTTCAGTGGAATATTGGGAAGGAATTCCTGGCTGGGAGAGTGGTGAGGGGCTGGGCTGGAATTCCCAGAGAAGCTGTGGCTGCCCCATCCCTGGAAGTGTCCAAGGCCAGGCTGGAGCACCCTGGGCTAGCGGGAGGTGTCCTTGCCCATGGCAGGGGTGGCACTGCATGATCCTTAAGGTCCCTTCCCACCCAAACCATTCCACAGGGAGGGCTCTTCCCTGTCCCAGAGAGCTGGAAGGGCTGTGGATGTGATTCCATAGAATCCCAGAATCCTGGTTTGTGTCCCATTCAGAAATAGGGAATCCACAACCCCTCTGGGTGACCATTCCCAAATCCATGATGCTGGATCATGTCAGGACGTGGAAGCAGCTTCTCCTCTGAGGATCAGGACTTTTTTCCCTATAAATTCCTGCTTCCCATGGGAAAAAGGGGGACTCTGTTTATATTCCCAGCTAGTGAACAGGAAGAGGTTAAAAATCCTTGGAGTCTCTTGAAGCGTTTTGGCCCTGACATTCCTTTGGTCTCTCAGATGTTTTCCAGCGACTTTGGTTCCAAACGTTATCCCTGTAATTTCCATAAAACACCATCCCTGTAATTTCCATAAAACACCGTGAGCTCTCCGAGACTTCCCTGTGTTCTCCCATTCAAAGGGAAAACACAGATTCTCTCATTAAACTAGGGAATTCAGCCACGAAACCCCTTGTTAAGGGGGAGCCAGGGTGGGATGTTCCCCCTGAGCCAACCTGAGCCAGCATTCTGGTTGCAAGGCCTTTGTATCCAATGTTTTCGTGGGAAAACGGGATGATAAGGACCTTAGAAGGTGAGCAGGGCCAGGCTTTAAGGATTTGTCAGAATAATTTGCCAGAGAGGAACATTTTGAAGCACACCCTGGTAGAACATCCCCCCTGGATCACCTTGAAAGGGAACCGAGGCAGAATCCAACAGGGTGACAACTTTTTAGTGGGTTTTGCCGAGAAAAATATTCCCAAAATATTCCTTTCTGCATCTCACTGTTCTTCAGCATCCCATCCATCCCCGCCAGAAGTGGTGACACCTCCCAGAGGGTTTAGGCTTGGAAAAAATGGGATGAGGGCACTTGCAGGTGTTTGGAATTTCAGCCTGGCACAGAAATGGTGCATGGAAAACAGGGATACCAGGATATGTGTCTCATACTTTATAATATATAGGAAAATCCTGATAAAAATGAGGCTTATCTGGGAATTATCCCACCCCTTATGGTGCCTTTTTTCCCCATCCGTTAATATTGTGGGACTGTCTGTATTTCCATATCTTCCTCCATGTATTTCCCGGGATTTTGGGGTGGAAAAGGGACTTTTTGCTGAATCCAAAGACTGATGGAGCTCAGCCTGTTTGCTCCAAAACTGGAGCCGCTTTGTTTGGGAATTTGTGAGGGAATAGCTTGGGAAAGTCACCCAGGTCGGGAGCAGGGGGAGAGGAGCAGGAATTTGGCAGGAAAACGTCGGAGCCGCTCCGGTGATCCAGGTGCAGTTGGGCACCTGCACGGGGTGAGTCCTCCCAGCTGGAAGGTCATGGAACACATTTCGTGCTCCCCTTTTCCTGGGAAAAGCCCTCATTAAACAGGGTGGGAACGGCAGGATCGCTGCATCCTGACCGACATTCCCGGTGCCAGAGTGGAGGGAACAAAGCAGGGAAGTGGTGCTGGCAGGGAGATCAGAGGGATCGGAACGGGAATAATGGAGGGAAGGAGCTTTGATCTTTAATAATGTCAGGAATTTTAATTGGAGGGACGGAGCAGCAAGAAAAGAGCGGGATGAGCTGGTTTCCTGGGATAAAGGGCAGGAATTCGTAGGAAATAAGAAATAATTGTAGGATAAATCACTGGGAAGTTTAGTGGCAGAAGGAATTGCTTTAAATGGATTCATTGGGGCTCAATCTCCTGACAAATAGGTAGAAAAGCAGGAAAGGTGTCGATGTTCCCGGCGGATCCAGGTGTGGGAAGGGGAGCGGGAATTGCTGGGAGCCTCCTGCTCTCTCCGGAGGCACTTCCAGCCTCACAGGGCCACCTCTCCATTAGAAGGTGGATATTCCTGCTCCCACATTCCCACTCCAGCCAGCCTGGGGACCTGAGCACCTGCAGGTGTGGAGCATCCCGGGATTCCCAACATGCATCCCTGCTCCTCATCCTCCCCCTGCCCATCTGGGAGAAACCAGGGATGTGATCCGGTGCTTTTCCCTGATCCCGCCCGGATGCGGCTCCTCCGAGGCTTTGGGAGAAGAGCCCAGCTGTCCCTGGAGCTGCATCCCGGGGCTCAGAGGGGCCCGGGAAGCAGCCGGACCCCCGGGATGCTCCGACCCCAACCCTTGGCAGCCGTTCAGGGAAGGAGCTTCAGCTGTTCCCGACTCATCCCATTTTCCTCCCGCCTGTGACATTCCAGGCTTGATGCCGGATCGATGCCAACAAAAAATATACCAGGAATTCAAAATGCAGGGATTTTCCCCTGATCTGTGATTTTTGATTCCAGGTTCCCTTTAATCTGAATTAATTTCATTAGTAAAATTCCGCACTCGAATCCCACCTGTTTCCACAACAAAGGAAAAATATTCCAGCTTTTTCTAAGGATGATTTCCAGATTTTTCTCGACCTCTTCAACCCGAGACAAATATTCCAGTGAAATCCACATAATTTTCCTTTAAAAAGCAGCCCCTGAGCTTTGCAGCAGAAGCAGCAGTTGGGTTTTTCCAGGAGGGATAATTTCCTTTCCATCTGGATGGATTTGGTGGATTCTCTCCCTCTCCAGCTTTAACTCTTTGTCTCGTTATTCCCGTTTTGGAGGCAGCAGGAAAAAAAACCCCACAAAGGTGCAGACACACCATAAAAAAAAAGGCAAAAGATTGGAATTAATGAAAAATCCAGGGCTGGGGCTCCAGGGGGAAAATCCTGGGAATTTAGGATTTTGCTCTGTTGTTTATTTTGATAATTTTGGGAATTGTTTTTGGCTCCAATTCCAATCTCTGGACATGAAACCCTCTGTGAGGTCCCTTTGAAACCTCCTCCTTTCCCCCGAAATGGTGACTCTGATCCCAACAGATTCCCGAATTTCCAGAGCTGGGACTGGGAGTGGGGAGGCCCTGCAATCCATGGGGGTGCTTTGGAAAGGTTTGAATTTTTGGAGCAGAGCTTGTTGGCCCTTTTATAGGATTTTGGGATAAATACGGATATATTTTCATCCCAGTTTTCCTCCCCATGCTGGCTGGGAACCCTGAGGCACCGGGAGCCGAATTCCCAGCAATTCCCAGTTCGGGAAGGACCAACCAACTGGTGCCTCCCAAAATGACCCCCTTAAACTTGCTCCCCGTGTTTCCTTATCCTGTAAAAACCCCCTCTGGGATTTCTTTTCCCATAGAAACCTCTGGAGCTTTTTCCTGAGGAAGAAGTTGGGATGAGGAAGGCCGGGCTCCGTAGGGGACGTGACTTTTTCTGCTCCTTTCCTGCCCCGGCCTTGGAAAAGGCTCTTGGTGTGCTTGGAGTTGTCCCGGAGTGGAAGGAGAGAGTAGCTGGATTTAGGGATTCATCCCGAGCCTCCCAGCCTTCCCCCCCCAGGGATAAACCTGGCCCAGCTTTAGCAGGAGAGTTCCCGAGGCCAGCACTCCCTGACCATTCCTGAAATTCCCTTCATTTGCAGGCAATGTTCACCGGAAATCAGTGAACCTGGAAAAGCTTTGAGACATCCCTTAAAATCCCATTTATTTGCCAGGAATATTCACAAGAAATCCATACTTATTGTGAAACCGTCCAAAGCATTCCCGAAATTCCCTTTTTTTTTCTGATATCCACAATGAACCAATATTTATTGTGAAATGATCCAAAGCCTTCCCTAAATTCCCTTTATTTCCAGAGAATATTCACCATAAACTAATGATTATTGTGAAATGACCCAAAACATTCCCTAATTCCCTTTATTTCCAGAGAACATTCACAATAAACTGATATTCATTTGGAAACACTCCAAAACATTCCCTTAATTCCTTTTATTTTCAGATATTCACAGTAAATTAATGTTTATTGTGAAATGATCCCAACCATTCCCTAAATTCCTTTTAGTTCAGATATTCACAGTAAATTAATGTTTATTGTGAAATGAACCAAAACATTCCCTAAATTCCCATATTTTCGGATATTCACAATCAATCAATATTTATTGTAAAGTGCTCCAAACCATTCCCTAAAATCCCATTTATTTTCTGAGAATCCTCACAATAAGCCCACGTTCTTTTAGAAACACTCTGAGACATTCCCAAAAATCCTGTTCTTTTCAAAGAATGTTCTCGATTTCCCTTTTCCCTTGGAGTTCTGGCACCTCTGTCTCTATTATTCCCTATTATTCTGCATTATGCGAGAGATTCCCAAGGTTTTTTTGCTGCTGCAGGTGTTGTTTATCACCGGAGCAGCCTCGTGGCAGGTGGAGATTATCCATGAAATTAGAGAGAGGAGGGAAAACGGTGGGATTTGAGATTTTGGGAGCTCTGCAGGAGGCAGGTGCGGAAGCAATTTTCCCAATCCCTCAGCTTGTGTTTGTCCATGGGATGAGAGGAGATGGAATGAGAGGAGATGTGATGAGAGGACATGGGATGGGAGGAGATGGGATGAGAGGACACAGGATGGGGACACGGGATGAGAGAACACGGGCTGAGGACGTGGCGTGAGTGGAAGCGGCCTCGGGCCGTGCCAGGGGAGGTTCAGCTCGGACAGCAGCAGGAATTGTCCCACGGGAAGGGCGGAAGGGCTGCCGGGGGTGTGTCCCGGCCCCGGCTCCCCGTGTCCCGCCGGGAAGGGGCCGCTGGAGCCCGGGCTCTGCCGGCCCGCTCCGGGGCCCTCGGGGGGCAGCGGGGCAGCCCCGAGCGCGGCTCCCGGCGCCAACAAGGAGCCCTTTGTTCGCGGGATGGCAGCTCCCGGCGGGCCGCGGGAGCGGGGGCACCCTGTCGCCGCGGGCCCGGGGCCATTTGCATGTGAATGGCTCCCAGCGGGGCACACGCGGGCCCCGCCGCGCCGCGGGCCGGCGGCACTTGGGGAAGGGCGGGATCGGCCCGGGGATCGGCCCGGGGGCGGCTCTTGGCGGGCACCGGGCGCCGCTCCCTGCGCGCCGCGATCGGGCCTTGCTGCGGCCCGGCCCGTCCTGCCGGGCTGCGGGGGGCACGGGCACTGCCGCCCGGGCTGGGATGTGCCCGGGCTTGGGTGTGCGCGGCCAGTTTATCCCGGGCTTGGATGCAGCCGGGCACTTCCCTGGGGGTTGGATGCGCCCGGGAAGTTCCCCCCGGGGTTGGATGCTCCCGGGAAGTTTTCCCGAACTCTGGAGCGAAGCGAATGCTCAGAATCCTCTCCCAAATCCGTATTTTCCAAATCCATCATGAAATCCCTGGTTTCTTGAGGTTTATCCCGTTGTTTCCCGGGAATAAAGTGGGTGGAGTGAGGTCCTCGCTGCTGCCGTGCCAGAGCCTTAATTGGTTTGGGGATTCTGGAGCGCTTTGCATCCAGTTCCCAAATATTAGTGACATTCCAGCTATTTCCCTGGTTTGATCGTTCCTCCCGTCCAGCCCACTGGGGGGGTTATATTTTATATATATTCTAGATATATTCTGGATATATTTTACATATATTTTTATATATTTACATATACTTTACATATATTTTATATTTTATATATATATTTTATATCTACTTTATATGTTTTTTATATTTACGTGACCTATATTATACATATTACACATATTTTATATATGCTGTATATATATTTTATATCTACTTTATGTATATGATATATGCTTTATATATTAAAAATATACTTTATATATATTATATATAAAGTCTATATATTTTGTATATGGTATATATTTTATATATAATATAGATTTGATATATAATATGTATTTTAAATATAAAATAGATACTTTATATATTCCACATATATTTTATCTATTTCTATATATATTCTAGACATATATATATTTACATACTATATATTTTTATAGATTTTCATATCTTTTCTATATTTATATTTATATTTATTTATATATATTATATAATATATATATTATGTATACCACGCATTTTTAATATTTTTATATATTTTCCATATTTATATTCCTTTTTCTATATTTCATTTAAATCTTAGACCTTTTCTATAGATTTACAGATATTCTATTTTTAGATGTACTTTACATCTCTTTTATCTATTCTTACCTATTTTTGTCTAGTGGGCATATCTTACATATTAGATACGTTTTAGATGTTTTTTAGGTATATTTTATGTATTTTATGTATACTTTAGAGATTTTTATATATATTATAAGCCCTGATAGATTTAATTCTCAGATTTTTTCCCAAGACAACGGATCTGCTTCACCCACACGGAAGCAGCAGAATTCCATGATTTTAATTTTATTAACATTGCTATTAAATCCCTGCACTTCCTTCCCTACAAAACCCCCTCCAAACATGCCCGCAGAGCTCCCAAAGTTTTCCAAGCACTAGCTGAACAGTCCCTGAAATTCCTTGAAGCCCCGAATTCCTCCTGTTTCCCAGGCATTCGGTGCGGGCGAAATTCCGGTGGTGTCCCCTTTAAAGATCCGCCCGTTCCCACGTTTCGCTCTGCTCCCGAAGGTTTCCTTCCCGGGTTATTTTTAGGGATGAGCAGCTAATGATGAGGGAGGTCGCACGGATGGATCCTGCAAATCCCTGTTCCCTTGAATCCCTTGCAGCAAAGTCTCCTGGGAGGGGACATGGACATCGGCACCCCCGGAGCGCTGTCCCCGTCCAAGCCCGGCTCCCAGTACTACCAGTATCCCAGCAATAATCCGCGCCGGAGGCCTCTGCACAGCTCCTCCATGGGTGAGTGACCCCTGCACCTCTGGCCTCCCGCCGCTTCCCGAGGAATCCCACTCCAGCTGAGCGAAGGTTGGGAAGGGACACAATAAGTGCTGCGGGAGCGATGCAGCCTCCCTGAGCCTCCCCGAGCCTTCCCGCCTTCCCCCGAGCCTTCAGAATTCCCTGTTTGCCCTGAGCCTGAGGCAAAACCTGCAACTCGCAACACCCACATCCCAAGTATTAACCATTTCCCTGCGTTTTCCCCCTGGAATTCTTTATTCCTTATTATTTCTGGGGATTTATTTCTTGTTCTTTATTTCTTGTTCTTTCTTTGCTTGTTCTTTATAATTATTGTTGCTCGCCGCAGCGGGAAAGGCACGAGCTGGCAAAATCCTGGGGCAGAAACCAATGGAATCCCTAAAAATCCTGCTGGGAACAGAGTGGGGGAGAAGCCGCTGAGATCCCTAAAAAAATTCCTGCTTTATAAAGCAGTTTTTCCTCCCTTTTTTTTCCAGAAGTTCAGACAAAGAAAGTTCGGAAAGTTCCTCCGGGTTTGCCGTCCTCAGTAAGTATCGCGCGCTCCGGAGGCTTTGTTTGGGAACAGGGGGATGGAAGGAGCCTGTTCCCGAGGGATGAGGCTCAGGGAAAGGTAAGGAATGCCCAGAGCCTCGGCCTGGAAAGCTTGGAGCTGGGAATGTGGTGCTCCAGGAGTGTGTTCCCCGGGAATGTGGCTCTCCGGGAATGCGGTACCTGCTCCGGGCACGTGCCCTTTGTGGGGCTGATTGATGGATCGGCGGCGGGAAGAATTAATGAGGAATTCCCTGGGAATCGTCCCCAGGATGCAGGAGAACTCCCCTGGCGTTCCAGAGGGATGCAGGATGGCAGCCCCGGCATTCCAGAGCTCCGGGAGCTGCAGGGAGGGTGGGGGGGTCCAGGTGCCAAGTGCTGCCTTCCAGGTGTTCCAGAGGCTCATTAATGCCCCTTATCCCGGTTTTCCCCCCGAATTCTCAGGAATATCCCCGAGCCCCTCAGTCTGCTGACGATCACAGGCACATTTTGTCGTGTTTTCCTGGAACTTTTCCATTTTCCAGCCAGAAATCGCTGGGTTTCTCCACTAAATCCTTTGTTCCACGCTGCTAAGAATTCTACAATTAATTCCAATTTCTGGATTATTTTGTGAAATCTTCGTGGGGCTTTTCCCCCAGAAGCCATTCCAAAGTGCTTTTATTTCAAATCCATGCAGATCTGTGGAAAAGCAAAGTTTTGTGAGAAATGACCCAACATTTCAGTCCCAAAATTATGGCTAAAATTGCATTTGATTGGAAGGTTTGAATTTTTTATTCCAATTTTTTCATTATCTTTAAAATATATTAATAATCATTTGCATCTTATTTGCAAATCAATATCAAATAAACCCCCCAGGAGGGAAAATCTTCCCTTTCCTACCTGAGAAATCCCATTCTCTGGGCTCTGAATCTGATTATTAGTGGCAATTAATCCGTGGGAATATGTAATAAATTAATAATAGAATATATACAAATGAATCTCCCATGGATTTGGTGATTTTATCCGGAATCCCTGGAAATTGGCAGTTGGCAAATATGTTTATATCTATAAAATATATCTAATTATAAAGCTCTAAATTATAAATATCAAGTTGCTAAATTACTTTCATTAATGATCACTTTATAATCAATAAAATTCCAATTAAAAGAGGGAGATAAAAAGAAACATCCACATTTCTTCCCATGGATTAATCAAATCCTGATCCAATGGATCAAATACAAACATTGTCAGTGGTTAAAATACAAGAGTATAGAAATATTCAAATACAGCCCCCAGTCAAGGAATAACATCCATTATTTGGAATTAAGAACCAAGTCCCAAAAGTGCCTTTGGAATTTCTTTCCCTCGGGGCTTTTTGGGGCTTGATTTTCTTGGACACTTGAAATGCTTGGAATTATGTCATGAGGAAATCTACCATCCCAGCTATTCCTGAATATTGGAATCCCTCAAAACTCCATTTCCTGGGAATAAATGGATCAAAAGGTAGGTCCTGGAAGGGGAATAAAAGCACAGAATGATGGAAATAGGGACTTTTTGAAGGGGAAATGGGGAGATTTGGGGCATTTTGGGTTCTGATATCCTGGAATCACCTCTTTAATTTGGGATTTAATTAGGATGGATACACGGATCGACATCCTTAGTGGGTGGGGTGGGAATGTTCTGGGATTTCTCTTAAAATGTGGCTTTTCCCATGGGATTTGTGCCGGGAACAGGGAGCAGCATTGGTGAATAGCCCTCACTTATCAGGCGTTACATCAGGAGCAGGTGGAAATTCCAGGGATACACGGGAATAAATGTGCTGGAGCAGCTCCTTCTTTATTCGGGAAGCGGCAGCGAGTTTGGAAAACAAAATCCATGAAACAACGGGAACAATCAGTTGGCAAATAAGGAATTCGAGGTGAACGGGGGGAGACTCTTAGGAGGCGTTTCAGGGGGTGATCCCAGGCCGGGATGAGCTGGAATCCAGGTGTGGATTCCCAACACTTGGTCAGGATGTGGCTGCGTCCCTCAAAACCCGCCCGCTTTTCCAATGCCATGGGATGTTCCCGGTCGCCGCCGGAATCTGAAGTGCTCTGGGGTGGGGGTTTGGGATTGGCTTCATCCAGCATATTCCCAGGGTTGGATCTTCCCAGGTGGAGCTTCTCCCACCTCGTAGAGGTTTTCCGTGGTCCTTCTCTGTGGACACTTTTCCTTTACAATTCCAAGGCCTCCTGCTCCCGGGGCTCCGTGGGCAGAGGCATGGATGTGGTGGATCCCAGTTTCTGGCAGATCCCACGTCCTGCTCGGCCCACGGAGAAGGGATCCATGGAGAAGGAGCTACTCCAGCTTTCCCCCCACTGGGAGCAAACCCTGAGTAGGTGATGGCGCCGTTCTGGTACCCCAGCTCCCCATCCGGCCGGATCCTTGGAATTCCAGGAGCAGCACTGAGGGGGATGTTTGGAGAACTGCTTTCCTGGGATTCCCTGGAGGTGATTCGTGGTGGGAATGAGTGATCCTGGAGGTCTTTTCCAATCTGAACTGTTCCGTGGTTCCGTCCTTGTTCCCTCCCTGAGCAGCTGGAGTGTCCCTGAGTGTCCCCAATCCCGGGATCCTCGGGTGGGAAAATTCCTCAGGTGTGGAGGCTCCTCACATGGAACCATCTCCTTGGAAGTGGCTCCTGGGTGAGGGACCTTTCCCTAAAATCCAGCCTGGGTGAGGGATCCTGCTCCAGGGGTCTTTGAGGATCAGTGGGATGGGTGAGGCCTCCTTGGCACAGAGAGGCCTTCCCGGACACAGATCCAAGGAAAGGAGGGAAAATGGGAGCGAAAACTTGGAAGCACCTCTGTGGTGTTGTTTTAAAATGGATTAAGAGGCACAAAAATTCCCATAAAAATTATTTGGTAGATTTTAAGGAACTGCACGGGATATCCCCAACATGGAAAAGCAACTGGAATGGGATGTGGATGCTCCAATATTTGTATTTTCCTGGGAAATCGACCCATTTTGGGATATTGAAGTATTTTGGGCTCCCAAAAAATCTCTTTCAAATCCAGGAGTGAATCTTCTGGGTTGGGATTAGTGGGATCTGGCTTAGCTGGGACAGAGACTCCCTCTTCAGTAAACTGTGGGAAGTGCACAAGGATTCAGGAAGGATTTGTCCAAAAAATTCCAGGTTCTTTCAGAATTCCTGCAAAACCAGACCCAGGGGCTCCAGGGCAATATTTTTAAGGAAGTTCCTTGAAATTTGGAACCAGGAATTCTGTTTGTTCTTTGGGATGAGGGTCCAGAAAATACCTTGGATATAAATTAATATTAATTAAATATAATGAATAAATATTCAAATCCGTAGGAATTCCATATCCAGCTTCCAACACTTTGTTTCTCTAATTACATCATTTATAATTTGATTTTCTTGTGGGAATTCAGCTTAGTTTCCCAAGTGGAAACCCCAGGACTTGATTGAATATAGAAACATTCCAATTCTCTCTTGGATCTGGCTCTTCCCACATGGATTTGGGAAAGGAAGGATTCTGGGGGCAGGGATGGATTCATTTCATCCCTTTATTTGATTCCTCGAGGTTTTTCTTCCTATCCAGAAGAGATTGGACATGGGATGGGAGTGGAGGGCAGGATGCTAAGGAAGGAGTTATCCCTGGAAGGGAGAAGAATTCCTTCCCAATATCCCATCTAAACCAGTGGGAAGCATTCCCTGTGTTCTGTCCCTCCATCCCTTGTCCTGAGTCCCTCTCCGGCTTCTCCTGGAGCCCCTTTAGGCCCTGGAAGGGCCTCCAAGGCCTCCCTGGGACCAGGACCAGGATTAGGAGCAGGAGCAGAACCAGGGCTGGGACTAGGACTGGGAGAAAGAATGGGACCGGGACCAGGAGTAAAACCAGGATGAGGATTAGGACCAGGAGCAAGGGCTGGGAGTGGGAACCAGGCCAGGAGCAGGACCGGGAGCAGGAGCAGGACTGGGAGCAGGATCCAGGAGCAGGACTTGGAGCAGGAGCAGGACTTGGAGCAGGAGCAGGATTAGAAGCAGGAACAGGACTTGGAGCAGGAGCAGGATTAGGAGGAGGATGTGGAGAGGGACCAAGAACAGAACTGGGATTAGGACCAGGAGCAGAAGCAGGAGCTGGAGCAGGCCTGGGATCGGCAGCAGGTGGGACATTCCCCGTTCCCCTCTCTCCTCTGGGTTCCCAGACCCCTCCAAGGCCCAGCTCCCGGGATTGTCCCTGTGCCAGCCCCGTCCCCTTCCCCCGCTCCCGTGGTGCTGCAGCCCCTCGCTCGGCGCTCCTGGTTCATTTGGGATTCAGGGAGGGTGTTTTTTGTGGAAAGGCGTTTCCCTCGCTGACCCCGGAGCATCTGTTCTGATTATTTTTTTCCCGAGCCTCCTTTGGCATTGGGGAAGTGTTAATGTCTCTCGGATCTGTTGAACGCTATTTAGGGATATTTATGATCACCTCTTGCTTTCCGGGGGGAAAGTGTGCCGGGATTTTTCCTTCCCAGGCAGCCAGGGAAGGCTTGGGATGAGGGAACAGCTTGCTCAGAACATGTGCTTCCCATGACAGTAAAAAGAACAAATCCCATCCAGTTGGGGGAATTGATGCGCAAAGCGGGAGCTTTAGGCCTGGCCTGGCCTGGAATCGCTTCCCAAATTCCACGTAAAACTCGGCGACGGGGATCTGTCGGTGTTTTCCGAGCGGTTTTGCTGCTTCCAGCCTCCGCTTTTGCCTCTTAAATTGGGGAAATTGGAGCTTTGGATACTCCTTCCTGATCCTAAAAGCAACAAGGAATCAGGAAGGAAGGGCTTGGAAAAGTGAATGGATTCAAAGGGAGGAATTGTGAAATCCTGGAATGGTTTAGTTGGGGATTATAGAGTCATGGAATGGTTTGGGTTGGAATCACAGTGGGTTGGAATCATAGAATCCTGGAATGGTTTGGTTTGGAATCACAGTCCTGGAATGGTTTGGGTTGGAATTGTAGAATCCTGGAGTAGTTTGGGTTGGAATAACAGTCTTG